ATATTTATCTTGTTCTATTATCAATTTAACTTGAGTTTTTTTAAGTAGTTTGTGCTTTTTGTTGCCAATCCACACATTTTTATTTTCTTTTTACAACTGATAATGTTTTGATGAACACTGAAATGTTTTGTGATCCTTTAAAAAAAATTATAATTTATGGTCCAGGTTTATGATACTTTTTTCAAGAAATAAACCACGCAGCAAAATTTGTCTGCATTTCTGCATGTCTGCAATTCCACACAATGCACTAAAAGTCCTCCCTGATATCTCAAAGATTGATGGCTCTTTGGAGGCCCAGGAGTGGTTTGCCGACGGTGTTCCATGTATGGGGCCAGGCAAGCACAACATAAACCAAATCACAGTTGTGGTGCCATTTTAGTACCATCATTGCCAGCTTGTCACCAGATCTGGCCCACACCTGTCTGYTAYGTGRGAAAGATGGAACGCTTTTGTTGAAGATAATCCAGTATTGGAAAAACCTTCGGAAAAGTGCTTGGTAAAATGATAATAAAAAAAGATAATTCTTTATCATTGCTAAAATCATAGAAGGTAAAGTAGGAATGTAAAATCACACTGTAAATTTATTTATTTTGATACATGTGCCCCAGGCTTTAGTTGACAGGATAAAAAGCAAAGAGTCCAAGGAAATCCTTTAAACTGCTATACATTGGTGATAATTTAATCCTTTTAATGTCTAATATCTAACATGGTTGACAAATAAGAGCAAAAACCTCCGTTAACAACTGAGGATCAATATAATTGTGTTGAAAAAGGCYGATAAGTCTGCCAGGCAAATTCAAATCTTCTGTCTGGTTGAGAAATATTAAAAGTTTACTTTTACTCTCAAATGAGGCTTTGAATGACTTATGCCTTCAGGGTCACAGAAACAAAACAGTCTGTCCACATAATTTAAGCCCACTGATGCCTGACCTCCCAGTTGCTTATAAAGCAGGAAYGGGGGAAGACTGCTGAGCTGACCAGGAGTAGAAGAAGACATTCAGTGCTGTGATATTTTGTTCTGTTATCTTGTTTGTTAAGCAGCCTGCAGGGGTTAACACACCACGTTGTCACGAGACCATGTGATAAAAGGGGCTCAAATACAGAAAAGAGGGGTCAGATGCAARAATGTGTGGGCGAGCTCTATTTGGAGCTGCAGCCAGTGGCTCGAATTGAAGGTAAGAAAGTGCTTTTTATAACTTATCATGCCATTARGTTTTATTTGAAATATGAACTTGTCTGGATTACAAGTATTTTACATTAAAAAGAAGTTGAAGGAATGTTAATTAACTGTTAGTTAAGCTTTAAAGGTATTTTCTGTCTCACTCAGATGATTAACTAATTTGATTCATCTTTTGATTTTGAGTGTAATGTTTTAAATGAAACATTTTTTCTACATTTGGCACAGAATGGGCTTCTGTGGCTGACTGACCTCAGGCTGCAGCAAACAGCAATCAGTAAAACTCTCCAAACTCTTTTGGTGAAAATATATCAGATGGATTTGACACAGCAAACAGTTACAGTAAACTTAATTTTACAGTTAGGTCACAGTATATAACACTTTAGATCAAAGGAAAACACAAGTTTTTTTTTCCAACTAGTTGCAGTGTGTTCTGTTCTCTGCACAAAAAAAGTTAATCTGAATCAGCATTTTTTTGTTAATACTTCGTAACAATTGCTCCATTTAAATGTAAAAATTTTATCTTATAAAAAACTATTAATGTAGATACATTTAAATAAATACATTTATAGTGATTCAGGGGCAGGCATTGTAGAGTTGGATAGCCACAGGCAGATACAATTTGTTAACATATAAGTATGAAATATTATTCAAATCTAAATAATGAAAAATTCAAATTCATCCTGTTCATTGGAGTCCAATTGCATTTCCATTTGATTTGCTTTAAAACAGTAAAATGTAATTTCACAGACATTCAAAAGTGCCATTTTACAAAAATTTGCGTGCAATAAAAACAAAGTATTGGATCAGATCTTTATTTCAGTTTTGTCATCTTGATTCTCCTAAAATAAAAATAATCAAAGTAACAGAACCAGAACTGCAGTAAGACTAGAGAGGAGGAAGGCCATCTGGTTTGATAAGGACAAAGATACAAACATAGAAGCACAAAATGGACAGTAAAAAAGATAATTATAAAGCTAGAATTAGCTCATTATAATATGATATAATAAAACACTTAAAATATAATTTCATGTATTTCATTTGCATATGCATATGCATATGTATATGTATATATATGTATGAATGTATGTGTGTATATATATACTGTATATACAGTATATATAATTTTATTTTTTGTGGAAAAACAGCATAATATTGGTCAAATAATGGAAGAGGAAAAAAGACAGTAAATTATTAGTTTTATGGTGGCTCTTTTGCCAAAGAATTTAAGAATTTATCAGTTTTACCAAACCACAGAAAAAGAGTTTGTTTTTTCGTCCAATTTGCTAAAGACATAAAAACTATGTAAATGATTAAAGCAAAGTAATTAGTTCAGGAGTAAATTTCTGACTTGTAAGTGAGACTAAGACTTCTACATAAAGTTGTGGCTTGTTTTGTTTCAGTGGGAAAACATGTCCTGAATTTTAAGAGCCARCGTCTCTCTGAGTCTCTTTTGTGTCTGAACTCTAATATCGTAGGGAAAAAAAATCTGATCTTTGGCATCATGAGCAGGTATTTTACATGCACAGCAGAAAAATGGTGTTAATCCTCTCTGTGTGGGCTCAGAATTCAGTTTGTCAGAGAGACACAAGAGTGGCTCTGAAGCCATTAAAGAGGTACCATTCCGCAACAGGTACCTTGGAAACACATCAAACCAAGTTTGTGTAAAAAAAAACAGAGCAAATATTAAATGGTTGTTTTGATTTTCAAACTGAAATCTTGAAAACCGCATTTGCATTTTGGTCACGTTAGCCTGAAATGAAATGAAATATTTTATATAAAGCTCCTATCTTTGCCATTCATCTTTTTAATAGAAATGTTCGATTATTGTCTCCCTGTCTTTGAATGTCGTCGGGATTAAAACACAGGGACTGATGTGCAAAACAACTGTCTCAGACAAAACTGGGTCTATCCCAAATTAGGAGTTACCCATCACATTTTTTGCCTTAGCTGCTCCATGCACACATAGTTGTAGTTTTTACTCTCACTTCCGAAAACCAATTAAGGCCAGTTTCGGCCACACATAGATCATACTGATTCACTTTGAGGAAGTGCCCTGCTCTCTGTAACGAGGGACCAAGTATATGGCACTGACAAAGTTTGGGTCTTCTTCCTGGACATCGTGACACGATAGAAGACCAGTGCTGTTACTCTGTTTTATTTCTTTGAGCACATTTTAGATGAATTGGTGAAACTTCTTCAAATCTCTAGCGTGTATATTGACTTATGTCTCCTCTTCACTGGGCTCAGAGAACCGGTTACACATCTTTCCCTCTGGGGAGAGATGCTTCAGAGATTAGAACTCAATAGAACCCARTTCTCTTTCCTCCTTCTCTATATACTTCACAACAAAAACTGTGGCCCTTTTATTTGCCTGAGAGTGGCACCGTCGGCCATGTCAATGACTAATTTACAACTCACAAGTGCTTTTAACATTTTTACTTTTTGTTTGTGTGACAGATGTAGAAAATCGTACAGTGAAAAAAGAGGAAGAAGAACCACAACAATGAATGGAACAACAGGCCATGTGGTAATAATCGACGCCGTTAACGTCACCAGCATCTTTGGCAATGGCAGCTCAAGCTTCTTCAACATCCCCAAACCCTTAAACACAGCCATCAATGTTATAACCATCGCCATCCTCTTCATCACTATGATTTCCCTTGGCTGCACAATGGAGATTCACAAAATTAAGTCCCACCTTCTCAAGCCAAAAGGAGTGGCCATTGCACTGGTGGCCCAGTTCTGCATCATGCCTCTCACGGCGTTCGCTCTGACCAAAAGCCTGCGGATGCCTCCCATTAAGGCTGTGATTGTGCTCATCTGTGGCTGCTGTCCRGGGGGAAGCTTGTCAAATATCTTTTCGCTCGTGGTGAAGGGTGACATGAACCTCAGGTAAACCAATCACTGATGCACGGATTCCTAATTGGAGCACAAATAATCTAAGGTCTTGGTTTGACACATTTGAGAGACACGCCTGTTTCCCTAATGTTTGCTCTTTTTCATGCCAGCATCGTGATGACAACTTGCTCTAGCATCGCAGCCATGGGTCTAATGCCTCTGCTGCTGTATATCTTCAGCCAAGGCTTCACGGGTCTGGAAAACGCTGTGCCGTWTGTTGGCATTATCACCACCCTTGTTTCCACGTTGGTGCCGTGTGCTGTTGGCATTCTCATCAATCACTACAAACCAAACTACTCAGCAGCTGTCACAAAAGTAAGAGACAAAATATAGTCACACATTAATAGATCAATGATGGAAAAAGGCTTTTTGAATGGTAGTCATTTAAGGTAACTGTAATTCTTTGGACTAGTAGTTAAAACCAGACTTTTTGGCAAAAAAGGAGAAAAAAAGAGAAAACACTGATGAAATGTTGGAACCTTTTGTGTTTACCAGATAGGTGTCATCATGCTGGTGCTTTTCGCCATCGTAGCTGCTGTCCTGTCGGTTTTAATATTCAAGGATGTGATATTGATGATCTTCATGCCCGACTTCATCGCTGCGGCTGCGCTGATGCCTTTGATTGGATTCACTCTGGGATACGTAATGTCTGCAGTTTGCAAACTCAGTCCAAAGTAGGTGAAAAACACACWGGTCACTCATTCAACTGTTCCTCAAGGGCTCTAATCTGACTGTTATCAAAGACCATTTGTACTTATGGCAGAAAATGAAAGRATGCAATGCACATTTAAAAACATCTCAACTCCAGCCACAGCTGATGAAACCTTAAAAGGAAAGCAATGCTTTTTTTCTTCAAACAATTAGCAGGTCTACAATGATTCCAACATTCAGAGCTTTTTCTAACCTCCCAACTTCAAACGTTTGGCATCARAAGTGCAAAACTGGAATATTTATTTGTATTTAACATTTTGACACATTCAGAAACTGATAACCCTTAAAAGAAGTCCTTGCACTGTCAAATTATACAACTATGCATCGATAAAATTAAATATTTTATATCACTGTACTCATTTAAAGACTAATTTGAACTTTTTTATATAAAATTTGTATCATGACTTTTAAAGCTCCAGTTTGGAGTTTTGAAGAAAATGTGGACTTAGTCTGAATATGTGAACAAATACACCTTATAGGTCTCTCCCCCTGGCTCTCTGCTGCACTACAGCCTCCCATGAACRCACAGGCAGGTGCACGACTCGGCTCAGGGAGGATTATGACGGCAGATAAACAGCCGTGGAACATTCAGAGCTCTCAGAAATTGGCAGCTTTCCTGTAAATTTAGGTTGATTCTCCACTATTAGCACAGCTGCAGCACACTAGTAGTCTTGAGCTTGCTGTGGGGGGGCAGCAAGTGCATGAGCGTGATAGATGCTGTTAAGACAACCCTCCTGACTCTGATTGGCTGTTTCTGACAGGGTGCGATGTGTTTCTGCAAACGGCTGTATAGGCCAGATTTACACAAATTATCTGTCTCATATTCTACTGTCAGGACATAGTGACAGCTTTAACATATGTGACTCATCACATCAAAACGAGGATTAAGTCCACAAGTAGTATATGGAGAAATAGGCAAATATAGTGTTTTGACTAAAATGTTAACAAAAATTGCATTTTCTCAAAATATAATGAATAAATGCCTTATAAATGTATCATTTGAATGAACTGTCTGAAATATAATCATAAAACAAAATTCTGAAGCACTGTTTTGAGCAGTAGCAACAAAAAACCTGATTTTGAGGAAAAACGCCTTAAAATTTTGAGATTTTCCTGGTGAGCAATGTTTTGTTTCTTTTTAGCTGGGAATTGTCAGTGTTCAAATAATWTAATTTGAGGTTCCCTCTTTATAAGGACATCAAAAATTCCTCATTAAAATGACATAAAATTAGGATTCAGACCAAAAATATTTATGTATTATTGTAACCAACAAGACAAATTAAGTCATATGTATGGATTTAATTATGATATCAGAATGATCAAGGTATCAAAATGCAACTTTTAAAGCCAAGAATCTGAAAATGTTATTAGGTCATTCTGATCAAATTTGCCTTAATCCTCATTTCAATTTGATGGGTCACAAATATGTAAAAAAAACCATTTTTTTTTGATAAAAGTTACCACTTTAATATAAAAATGGATTTAGAAGCAACTGCAAATAGCAGTAAAGCAATTGTTTGTCACTAATCAGTGGATGTATATGTTGATTGTCAAAATAATTATAATTTGTCATTATTATAATCTGCCACAATCAACAATAAAACAACTTTCCTGCATCAAAGGAATCAAGAAGGACGTTAATAAATCCATCCGGCTAGAGAGAAATATTTCAGAATAGTTATTTTAAGCTGTTAAAAATGGTATGTTCCAGGTTTGAACTGAAGCAATGAAATGTTATAACCTCACTTTTTTTTCCTTAGGTGCAGCAGAACCATCTCAGTGGAGACAGGATGTCAAAACCTCCAGCTGTGCTCCGCCATTCTCAAGGTGGCCTTTTCCCCGCAGGTCATGGGACCCATGTTTCTCTTCCCCTTGTTATACATCATGTTCCAGTGCGCTGAGGCCCTCCTCCTGGCCTTGTGCTTCAGATATTACCAAAGAGTCAAGCCACTTGCTGGGGGTAAGTACGAAAGCTGCTTGCCTGTTTGTGCAGAGCGAGGATAAAGAAGAACGGGTCAACTGAGCACGTGCAAAGGTTTTGGAGCGTTAAAATCCAGATTAATACATTTCAGTATTTCCCCTGCAGATACTGGAACACAAAAACATGCTGGTCTTCAACAAGAGGAGGTACGACCATGACACCGAAGAGGAGTCCTGGATGAACCCTTATGTTTGGGACACCAACTGGAAGACCAACAAATACTTTTACACAGAAATAAGAAGTTGAATTGTTCAAGCTTTCTATTTATGTTCACGCCTGGAAAAAATCTTTTGTGACAATTTTATGTAAAATTTACAATTGACAATCAAATGATCAGCTTTTTTAAAGACTCAAGAATTACATACTTTGATAAAAATACATAAAGAAAAGGCAACGCCATGAAAAAAACAAAAGGATATCATCAGTTTCAACACATCAAATAATATTTAATCAAATCGACGTATTTACAGGATAAACACAACTTAAAACTTTGTACATATATTAAAATAGCACATTAACTAAAAACAAATCAAGTTTCAGTCGAGTAAAGTGAACACAAAGATCACACTAATCTGTACGTTTCTTTTTTTTTTGGTGACTCTTTCCAGTTATTTTACAGTGTCACATTAAACATGCCTGCAGCAGAAGTCAAAATGAACAAAACGCTAAAAGACCTACTGCTAACGGTTCCCATGAGCTGCAGAGGCGTCACAAGCCACGGCTGATCAACAGCTTTATCTGCACAAATAAATTACATTTATCACTCCTCAGCAGCCTCAATAAATTAACATGAGAATATCTTCAGGTGTGCAGGTGATATGTTTGACAAAAGCCACACATGATATCAATAAGCAGTGGAGGCGTTTCACTGACATTCATTTTTCAAACTCCTCGTTACACAGATGACTGATACGTGTGCATAGACGTGGGAAGCTAAGGCTTTTCAGGGGCGGGGTAATAGCATAAAAAGGAAAATGCGTTTAGAAACATAAAACAAGGTAAATGCAGCCTCTCTTAGGTGGACGTACTCCTATTCTACAGTGATGTTGATATGAGGCATGATTATTCAATCCTTTGAAATTGAAATATTTAAAAAGACAAAATAGTGAACTTTCATTCCTTGCCATCATGCATCTTTGTGTTTTCTAAGTGATAAGGTGTGTGTGGTTAAGGAAATGTAACAAGACACAAATTACATTTTCAGTTTCCAGCTTTGCTCAAATACATAATATGTATCTTTTTTTAATCTTTTTTTTGTACCATATTGATGAACCCAGCTTCTAATTTAAGACAAACACACACTAAAAAAGTGTAAGCTTCTATACACATGTATGTCCCTTCTCTGCTTTCCTTTGGGATGGTCAGCTGAAATATTCAGAGTGAAACACAGCTCCCCTCTGTTGTTGACAAACTCCTGCTATCCAGCACAGGTCGATAAGAAAAGATGGTCGCCGCTGTTTGTTTCAGGCTTCCTTCAGTAACGGCATATCTGTGGGCAACAGATCACATTAATACCAAATAATGGTTTTAAATAGAGTGTGAAATGAAAAATAAAATACCATCTGAGTAGTCCATCTCAGAGTCTAGCGACAGGCTTTGTTGGTCGCTGCCTGCAGAAGGCCTTCTACGTGAGGATGAGGAGCCTCCCATAGCGCCTCCATGTTCCAGACCCCAAACAGAAGACAAAGGTGAAGAGGAAGATGAGGACGGCAGCACGGGGTGAACCACCGCCATCTCTGACTGCTGCTGTTTGAGGGAAGAAGGTCTTGTGGGTCCGGCCTCAGGTGAGGCGTGCTGACCCTCGGACAGCACTATCTGGACTCGAGACTCAGCGCTGAGTGTTGACGCTCCGCTGCTGCTCACGGCTTCTTCATAGGAAGGCAGCGTCACCTGGACTCCTTCCACCATGATGGTCACGGGCTGCCCCAACAAACCGTGGTCACGTCTGAGTGTGGAGGACAGGASGGAATTTAGAATCACTTGTTTCCCCTGTGATTAGTCACTATAAAGCRCAAACCAAACTCAAGGCCTGTGAGCCTAATGTGGCCCGCCATGGCATTTTATGTGACCCAMAAGAGCTTCAAAGATATAATAATGTCTTAAAGGGGCAATATTATGTGTTTCTCAGGCATATATTTMAATTCYACACCATAACAAAGTAACTATGTCACATTCARTTGTTATTAAAATGTTGTTTACATGTTTAAATAGAAAATAAACTTGACTTTTCATCATATCTGTTTCTAAATGCCTTGAAATTGGCCTYCGTCTCTTTAAGAASCTCCTTCCRCTTCCGTCCCACCCATTTCAGCACTGGGCCGAGTGGGTGTGTGTGCTCTGTGATGAGGAAGCTCGGCTTGGAGACACAGCCCAGAGGAGGAGCTGGTCCCAAAAGGCGGTTCTAGTCCCAACCGGTCGTTTTTGCTCCCCTGCCTGGCTGCCTCAGGACACTACAGGATTTCTCAAACATGCATGAATGAGTCAAAGCAAGACTCTGGGCATGTTTTTGATGAGAGGACAACATTATAACATGATATAAAACTCAAAAAAGTTGATTTGACATGATATTGCCTCTTTAAAACAAGCGTATGCTGCTTTAAAGCCGGCATCGACAATAAACTTCMATCCATACTGCATGCCAATTATTTAACCCACAAAATGACGGCATCCCACCACTAGGTGGAGATGCACAGGGKTCAAGARCAGCCAGCAGCTGGCGAGATTCAATTTGTAAAAYATCCATTTTACGGCTCTTTCACCGGGAAGTAGGAATTCCCCACTTACAAGTTACAAATTTAAACTGGAACGCCCCCATAAGTGGGAATTTCCTAGTGGAMAGTGGGAGAGTTTAATATTCAAGATGGCAGCTACTCATTACAACTCAACAGTGAGTAAAACTATCTTACTTTTACTTTTAACAGTATTTCTGTCTTATTCATTTCCAGAGTTGTAAAGTAACTAAGTACAAATACTTTGTTACTGTACTTAAGTAGAATTTTTGTGTAGCTGTACTTTTACTTGAGTAATTATTTTTCAGCCTACTTTTTACTTCTACTTCTTACAGTTTGACACAGTTATCTGTACTTTCTACTCCTTACATTTTAAAAAAAGACAAGAAGTAGAAAGTTGTTACTTTTATTTCATTTTTGCTTGTTTTCATTCCAGCTTGTTATTGTAAAAAATAAATACTATCCAAATAAATTGTGCCTCCTGGATAGAGGGAATTTAATTTTGGTTGAATGAGAAGTATAAATATTTAAAATTCTGATACTGTATTAGTTTGTACACAAATAAATCATGTCACACTCCAGCAGGACATAATCATTAAAATAAAAGGACTGTACTTAAGAAGTATTTGTTTTTCATGAATTATATTATTGCATTTGGCTGCAGCCCTCAGATAGATTAGATTTTCATTTTGGAGAAAAGGTTTGGGCAGCCTTGATATAAACATAAACTGAAACAGCTGGACTAGTGC